CAGCTCCTGAGACCTGTGTGATCCATTTTACTCCTTTTCCAGATATTCCCAAATGACAGCTAATCAGCCGCCAGTACTATCCAGGGTAACGTGCCTCCAGTGAGGAATCACGGCCATTTTCTTTTCTCAATATTAACAATTTTGACTTGGACCTATTTTACATAGTTATAGCTGGTAATCCAAGCAGCTACTTTGGAAATAACAATGGCAGTTGAAAAGCACTGTTGAATACCTATCGCTCAGTTTTCGCTAAATTGTTTATCATGTGTAATGTGTTATCTATTATTTCCCTATTCTTTTTAAAATAGGTAAATTTAACCAAAAGGGAGGACTGGTTGTCATGGTTGTTGCCTGTAATTTCAGGAATTTTGCCACGAGGCTAAGGTGATCGCTGGCTGAAAAGTCAGTCAATGCTACCCCAAATTACAGAGTGAGATCCTGTCTCAAGACAAAACAGAAAAATTATCTAGAAACCAACAGGCAACAGGGGACTGGAAAGGAAACTCAGTAGTAGAGCAGTGGCCAAGCGGGGGCAGTGCCAAGAGTTTCATACTGAGCACAGACCCATATAGAGCCAAGTGCTGCTAGTTATTTCAAGGAAAGAGAACTGTTGATTCTACAACAAATTAAGTTTTTGTATATTACAAAAGACATGATATGAAAGTAGAAGGGGGAGTATGAGAGAAAAGGGAGGGAACCGCGAAGCTAGGTAATGGCAGAACTGTGTAAGTTTATTACATGCATGAGGAAGTATGCCAGAATAAAAATCAACATTATGTATCTAATGTTGGTAGAGTAATAAAGAATTCAGAAAACACTTGTACAATGTTGGTAAGATGAAATTTGCAATTACTTTAAATTTTCAATTTATTTTTTGTATGGGACACAGGGTCTCGCTATTTAGCTTGGATCAGAGGAATCCCTCTGTTTCATCTGCCCCAGTGCTGAAGTACAAGTGTGTATTCCAAGGCCTGGTCTCAGTGGATGTCATGAGATACTTGTGGTGGGCCCAGTGTGGCATGTAGTACTGGGGATCAAACCTGGTTTCCTGTGTTTGTGAGGCATTCAGTTAGACATCTGAGCTATCTCTCTGTCCCAATTTGTCATTATTTTAGAAAACAATTTGAAGATTCCTCAAAAAACTAAACCGAATTATGTCAGAAGATCCCATATGGTATTTATGGGTATAGCGTTAGAAAATATGAAAAGTCCATGCTGAGAAGCAGAAGATCATACCTTCACCTGCAGTAGGTGGCATTGGGAGATTTTGAAACAAGTTTTACTCTGGAGCCATGGATTTAATAGGGTCGACCTGAAAGTTTTGTGTCTAGTGGTGAGGTAAGACTGAATAATTGCATGTTATCTCTATATATTTGGCTGTTAGAGTTTGGGTGTCAGGTTGTCCACATCCCCTGACAAAACTGACGATGGACTGGGTTGTCCTCAGTTTCTGGAAGTGTGGTTTCAGAAGAGTTTTGTAGCTTGTTGCAAAGTAGAAGAGCAATGGGAGGTAATCTTCAGGAGAGGAAGGCTGAGGAGGGTTTCCTTAAGGGATGTCTGTGAAGCAGTTGCAACAGGCTAAGGAGATGAAGTGGTCTGGATGTCTCAGAAACCTAGCTTGTGGGTGGTAGCATAAGTGAACAGGCATAATTTTGTTTCAGCTATAAAGGAAAAAAGGCATAACCTGTATGACGTTGGGAGTTTTTTCTTACTAGGAGAGAGACTGTCCCTCAAAAGTGGAGGCAGATTGGCCACTGCAGGACACTTTCATTTGTTTCTAGTAGGAGGCTACAGGTTGTATTTTTTGATCAGGAGTTGAGCTAGGAACCCTGAAGGGAACCCCCTCTTGGCATTTACATAGAGAGGAAAAGTCATGTGGAGATTGAGAAATTGGGAGTAGAGGGAATGGATACCCCAAGTTAGGTGCCCTGTGTCTGGAAAACAGGGCCTTTACCTGGTGATACTTTGTAACACTTTATAATTTGGAAAATAAGTAAGTGAAAAAAAGCCTCTGTTACCTGTGCATTTAGGGAAGGAGTGTAGAGCCAAAAATCATCAACATCTGGGAGAAGGCAGCTAGAGCTTAGGGGAAGAAACAGGAGGTTCTGGGTTTCACAGAATCCTGAGGAAAGGAGTTTCAAGGAGTTCTTGGGGTTTTCAGTGACAGAACCCATCCAGGTTAAAGAAAAAGGAGGCTGAAAACTGGAATCAAGAGGGAGAGTTATTATCTTTGCCATGTAGGGTGAGATTGATTCTTGGGGTTGTTTTGTCATTTCTTCTTCTTTTTTTTAAGTTATTTTTTCCCCATAATTTTATTGAGAAACAAATATCAGTGAGAGAATTTCAAACCAAATTGGTAGGACAGTTTCAATAACTACCACGTTGCGTACTGTCTTCCTGGTGGTTATTTGTTGTACAAGTTGCAGACATTATATCCTCTTTACACACTATTAGAACAAATCCAAATTAAGAGAATGTAGCTATATATCTATCCTAACCATTTTGAATACCCAGATAAAAAATGGTCATTCATCTGTATCCCCTTTTTTGTTTAGTTCCATCATTTAAATATTACAAGTGTGTGAACTCAGCAAAATATTCCAAATAGTTCAGTAGTCCTTAATATTATTGGGTCCTCTGCTTGACTGGCAATGTAATAACTTGTTAACCTGAGTCCCCTACAGCTGAACATAACAACATGGCTTTACTTCTTATACTTCATTTTTATACTTTTCTGCTGGATGGTTAAGACCAAGATAAAGCAAGACCTATGTAACAAGAATTATAGCTTTTATATCTGATAAGGTCAGTCAAATCCCCTCAACATTTATCCTGATATCCTATACCTCAGATTGTAGAACCTTTGTCAGTGTCAGCCATGTGGATGAGTCATGGCCATTGCTTGGCCAATTTGCTGTCTGTGAAAACCTGAGAAAATGTTTTCTCTCCATGTGACTCTCCTTAGGCACACTTTACATCATTGATCACTTTCCTCTTTGGCCCCATAATCTCCTTGATCAGAAAATTTGAGACACAACTGAGTTACATGATGTTACAGTACAGGTACTCTGATATCCTAAGTCTTAGTTGACCTTGGAAGGCTAGCACCAAAATGTTGGCTTTCCTTTTGGCCCTCTGTTTTCTCTAATTTTTGGTCTGCAAATTGAAGTTGTTAACCTTCCAGAAGAGAAGCTTATTGTTATTACCCTACCACGTAAGCTGTTGAGTTTAACCTCATTCTCTGTCTGAATATCAAACATCTTTGGCATAACATGGAACAGGTATTTTTCATCAAGTATTGATATATTAAACTTTAAGTTCCTACAGAATATGACAAAAAATTTAAACAATTAAAATATATTTAAGAATAGGAATAAAGAATTATATATGTTTACACATAAGTTTAGAAAACTAACCATATACAGCCTTGCAGCAGGACAGTCCCACAACACTCCTTTTCCTGTCTCCTGCCTTCATTATCCACCCCTTTCCTTTTTAAACAGTCATCTACCAGAGAGACAGCATGGCAGCAACTGATGTTCCATGATAGGCAGCACATATTCAGATGACCAGAATGGCAGGTATTGCAAGAATGAACCTACTATTATAAATTGCGATCTTCAGTGCAGTTCCCCAGTTTCCAGGTGTCAGTATATATAGTTAATAAGGATGAGAATCCTGTTTTGTCAATTCTTGATTCAGGATACATGTGGAATCTTTTTTTATATATTAATTTTCCATTTACATTTCTTCATCTGAGAAATACATATTCATCAGAGGCCCATCTTTTTATTATGAGGTCTTTAAACGCTGGGGACCTGATTTTTAAAAACTTTTCACTGCTCTGGATGGACGTCCACTGTCTGAGGGACAGTCAGCTAAAAGTTTTCCCACTTAGTGTGTCTTTCTCTTAATCTGGTGGTGATTTCTTTTTTTTTCCCCACAATTTTATTGAGAAACAAATAGCAATGAGACAGTTTCACATCAAGTTATTAGGACAGCTTCAATAATTAATACATTGCACATTGTTTTCTTAGTGGTGGTTATTTTTTTATGAGCAGAAAATATTTACTGAGAGAAAGAAAGAAAGCTCCTGTCCTGAGAGAGGGACAGAAGGGGGGGCCCGAGCAGGTAGTTTCCCCCAAGTGGTTATTTGTTTTACAAGATGCAGACATGACATCCTGTTAACAGACTATTAGAACAAATCACTCTACTCTTTCAATTAGGAGAATGTAGCTGCATATCTATCTTACCTATTTTGAATATATAGATACAAAATGATTGTTCATTTGTATCCCCTTTTTTGTTTAGTTTTGTCATTAAAATATTCTAGGTGTGTGAATTCAGCAAAATATTCCAAATTGTCCAGAAGTCCATAATAGTATTGTT